AACCCTTTTCCGTTTATTTCTTCCCGCTGGATGATAATGCAGCAATTTGAGTTTCTGTTTCCCAATGCGAATAGTCATCAACATCCTGTGTCAATGATTAAACACAAAGCCCACTAAATGGCATTTGAAGTGTGTAGTGAGTAGATGGAAGAACGTGGCGGTGCATCTTTCTCCACCCTCTTCCTTTCAATCATGCCCATCGTTTGCACACCGTGCTGGAGGACACGTGTGCCGCGCGTTCCCTGCGCGTGGCTGCACATGTGCGCCTTTACTCATCGTGCACCTCCTACAAGGACGATTACACAATGGCGCATACTTTCTCCTCACACACCGTTACACGCCACCGCCACGACCCGCACTGTGGTTATACCTATACTGCATTTTTGTATTCTTTTAAAAACTATACATCTGTTGATATCTTAGCAAATATCTAATTAATAACATGATTAACAATTAAGGCGTATCATCTTCCGTATTATTATTTCCGCACCTATTTTTTAACAGATTAAATCGCATCGACCCTGTTTGTATCTTTAAAAAATCTAAAAAGTCTTATCTAAAATAGAAGATCCATTTTGGGACCATTTTTTAAAAAAACGGTTTCAATTTTTCAACTCCTGTGCAAAATTTCAGAGATTAGTCACAATAGAAATGCATTAAAATCCACATTCTTCTCTGCAGCATTCTTGCCTTCATGACGTAGGTCCATTTCCTATTCAGCTTTTCATTCACAAAAAAAAAACTTAAATCAACATCTTGGAATTCATCCGACAGGTATTCAATTATTTCGGTGGTATTCTTGCAAGCACAATACGCGCAGATTTTGTTTTCATTCTTTTCGTACTGAAAGGCAAAACGCAAGACTTGTTTAGTCCATCGGTCGACATCATCTGAAGAAACTTGAGCATAAACCAAGAACTCTTATTACTCAAGTTAGTTTCACTGAATGTTTGTGTGATTGTGCAACTTCTACATTTGGATAATTTAATTTATTTACCATACCATGAAATTAATTAGTCAGCGAAGTGCCAAACGTACCTATAGCTTAAATCATCCTGTATTTTAATTTGTGAGAAATTGCAATTTGCATCATCGTCATACTAATTAAACGCAATTAACCATTTAACATACATTGGAGTTACATAGACGTGCGCAGATAATTAATCAACGATTCAACACCTTATCCTCTCATTTGTCTCTCTTTGTTTTGGTCGTTTTTGCAGCATCTTGCGACGCGTCTTGCGGTAGATTTCGCTTTCGCTTTATGCCTACTTTTACGCGTGGCTTTCATTGCCTTTTTTGCCTTCCAGTCTTGCACACGAGACATGCATGTAAGCGGAGAGGTGCAGCGATGTCGTGTTTTATACGCATCTATAAATTATCATCATTACACAAATCGAGTAGGTGAGTAGGTGAAAAAAAATTGTTGACTAAGAAAACGTCGAGTGTGCACGATACGATAAGATTTTACTTGCGTATATTTGAACAGGGTGTCTGAAGCTTAAAGCTAAAGATATACCTATATTGGGGTGCGATATCGATATAAATATAGGATGGCGATAGGCACCGTATTTGCTTAGCACTTTACACCGCGCGGAAACATTTTGTCTATGATAAGAACGTCTGCGTGTGGTGCGAGAGGAAGATGAAAAAGTAGACGTGCGTAGGGGAGATGTGGGTGCCGGTGTGAAGGAGGGTGGTTGTGGCTGTCTGTCTACACCTGCTCGCAGCCGAAACGCGAGCTTTTGACGAGAATAACTTACTCCCTCAATCGGAGAAGACACGCGTCGCAAGCGTCGATTTTCTATTTACCATCGACCCAAAAAATCCATAAGGAACCATCAGACCATCAGAAGTGTGCACAGGGCGCAGATGTTCTTGGTATCAACCGGCGCACGTGTGGATCATTTACTTTTTCTATGCTTCCTCTGGATTAGAAAAACTCAACACCGCATTTTTTACTAATCGCTCAAATTCTAAATCAATGAACACGTTGCGCATCACTGTAATTATGTAAATTCTCAATTTATTCAATAAATTTCAATCATAGCACATTGCTTTGAAAGGTGTTAGAATTTTTTTCTGTACAGTTATTGGCGGTTCGGTCTAATGGAGGATTTCTTTGTGAGTTATGCTCATGGGTTTTAAATAAGGCGTGCGCTTGCGGCGCTGCATTATTTTATTACCGGAATCAATCAAAAGCACGTTTTCAATCGGCGCGACCGGCGTCGCGGAACTTTCCAAAGAGAGGTTAGAGGTGTCTGACGTTGAACCAGCTCGCTGCATTGTCTTCTGCTCCTCTCCGACATCCTCGAAGCGATCGATTTCGGACATCAATCATCTCGATACCCACAGCTGGTAATTTTCTGTCGTATGTTTAAATAACATGCAGTTTTCTTGTAATGCCCAGCGCGCGCGCACCTACACGTTTCAAGTCGACGCCAAGCTTAACAAGTGTTTTGGTGAGAATGTGAAAAATATAAAATATCGCCCGTGCTAACGATTTTATTGCGGCAGGATGATAATTTTTGCTGTCGTTAAAACCTTTTTATAACTGTTTAATTGTGCCATTATGTGGCTTAAAGCGTCTTGTTTTTATAGCGGCGCATAATTTATAAAAATTTATCACTTTTAATGTTTATTAATTGTAAACGCGCTTGTTTGCTTCTTGGAATGGTGTCCAATTAGGCACAAACGGCCAAGACCTTAACTCTGGTAACGTTACATTCTGCAGTGAAAACTGCAAGACAAGAATGTCCCAAAATCAAGTATCATTATATTTTTGTATTTATCTGAAGAAAAAAAAATTATTTTATAGATGCATTGTAAAATATATGTCTGCTTGACGTTTATATCTATATACTCTAGTAAATTTTGCAATATAAATTAATATCGAAAAAATGATATTAATTGTAGTATGCGGTTCGAGTTGTAACGTTAGTTGATATTAATGGCGTGTTGGTACTAATAACGGCGGGTGTGCTCGTTACATTCGCGCTATATTTGCGCACATTTATTTATCCACATATATTGCACCGTAATGCGCGCTTATAACATAATTTACATGCTCGTTTGTTAATATTCGTCCATTTTTTAAACGCGAAAACGACACAAAGCCGCTAGAAATATCTATATGGCGAAACTGGTAAACACACCGCGCACGCTCGTATAAGTACGTACTTAGTGGTTATGACTTGAATAAGTCCGCGTCTACAATGCAAGTTGCAAGCTTTCGCGCACATGAAACGCGCAAGAGTCGACAAAAAAATAATTAATGCACTGAAGTCAGCGCTCCCGCAGTCTCCTGCCACTAACACACACACACACACATGATCCACACACTCATAGAATGTGCTTCGATTCTGTCGACTTACAATATAACAATAACGTCGCCGGCGCTGAATAGCGTCGAGAACCCATATTTGCGATTCGATTTGCAACGTAATATACATTTATTATTATTAATAATAAACTAAATAGGTTTCTAACGATTGGGTATGTGCATAGGTACGCCAGCTCGTTACACAAAGCTTACAGGCGGCCATTGTGCCATGCGCGTTAACAACGAAAATCTCCTGCACTAGTCCACTCAAATCGAGCAAAACAATTATTTGATTTATTAACGGTTTTTATGACGAGCGAATATGAGAAGCATAATCATTTGCCGTCGGACTGCATCACATCACTACTTTGCGCAGCTTTGTGATGTCATATAAGTAATAATTTTTGATTTGTGCGCGGCCCAACAATGGGATGCCACCACTACGGATTTATTCATTTAGTATTGATAACAATACAAAAAATACTCGCCCTACTCCAGGCAGCAGGTATTTAAGTATAGTCGCCAATTGTTCTGATAAATATATGGTGCGCGTTTCTGTAATCATAATGGTGTACTTCTTGTACTAGCCGGTTACATGCGAGATAGTAAGTTACGACGATTGAAACCGGTAACTAGTAACTCACTCGCGAGTTGCTCTCTATATGCGATGGCATGTAATAAAAGCAAATGGGAATTATCGCAGATGCAACTCCCACACTGCGCATTTACCTACACTTATGGACAAAATTATTCTATAAATTGTATCGAGTTTCCACAATAATTTTACTCATATAAATATGTCAATATTTGGGTCGTGCCAATATCTAATATGTATCAACTGATATTTTCTATTATAATAATATACATTTAAGAATGATTAAATTATGTTAAGACTTGCATCATTTTAATTTCATTTTATTTTGCTTTTTAAATGCATAATTACAAAACTTGTGCGCATTTGTGTATGGTTAACTAGTTAGTTGCATTTTAGTTGCCGTAATGACATCCTTAGTTACCTATATCGTCAGCAAGCAATCGCATTATTTAAAACGCCACCGAGTTGAAAACAGGCTCTCTACGACTGCGATACAATTAATTATCCCGATGGTAAAAATGCACCATCTCGACTCATTTCGATTGTATACAATTCCGTTTTCAACCACTGCGCTTATTTTACTCCATTACATCTTACACCTGCATAATAATTCTTGATTTTTCTTTGAAATCTTAAAACCCGCATGCAAACGAGTTCAATCTCTAACAAAACAATGCATTGCCAAATACTGCACACAACTGCTGCTAATAATTTATTGTCTTAAAATTACCAGCACACTTCTGTTCCATTCATGCCGTGCTAGATTTGAAAGTGCGATTACGATTAGTGTTTAATTATAATCGAAGGTTTTTTTCATCAATGCTGCTTATAATATAATGTAGTTGATATTGCACAACAACGCACCATACACACACACACAACACAAAACAATAAGGTTTGGGGGTGTTGAAATTTAATATCGAGCAGTTTTCGATCTCAACTCGGCGATGGTAAAACAGGAAACTGAGTGCGGCACGCGCGCACGTGCTTACACGCTGCTTGTGTCTTGAGTGCTGCTCGTTTCAACATGTTTGTCTGGCGGAGTGCAACCGTCAAGATTTATTATAAATATAATAGGTCAGCTACAGGAAACAGGAAGTTTAATATGCTCTTAAAATCGACAATTTTTTCAACGCGGAAACAAAATACTTTTTATTGTACTTGTCGGAGACACTCACCCATCAAAGCGGTAAATATTTATTGATAAACTGTAATATCCTGATTCATGTTCTCATTCAGTAAAATTAGGTAGAAAATTTGAATGATTACAATTTAAGTTATAACATTAAGGAGCGCGTTAAAACAGATTGCTAATGCAAAACAGTTCATGAGGCATAAAGTGCAGAGTGTTGACCGACGAAGGAAAACCGATTGTGCTCCATATTGTGCTCTACTTGAATGTGTTCTCCAGTATAACGGTCTCGTGTCACCTGCCATCCCTGAAATCAGAACTATACATTAAATGCTGCATAAAACGCTTACACTCGGTGGGTATAAACTATACAGTGACTGGCTTATAGAAGTCTAAAGTTTCTAGGTTAGGCTGCTATTATATATTGTGTTTTTTGCGAGCTTTGCTGTCTAACGCCCGACAATTTTATTGATTGAAACGCGTGGCTTCTGTTTTATTCCGATGGTGATTTATCAGCGAGCACAATCGACGAACTTTTGCTGAACTCATTGCGAATTCCTCCCGAACACGCAATTAATACTCGGCCATTCATTCGTATAATTTAATACGCGCGTACCCGCAAACGGGAGGTATAATTAAACGGCGAAAGGTTACGTACGACTTTTGATTCGACAACAGGCACAAATTATAGCATTTACACCTTAGTTTCGTTATTAATCATTTGCTATGTGGCTTTTCTTCTTTAGTTTTGGAATTATGCCATAAACTTACAGCTACCGTGTGTAATTTATGAAATAAACATTAAAATTTGAAATTTTTGGATAAAAAATTGTCACTATATGCAACACACATTACACCAAAACCAATAACAAACAAAAATTTTCATTTGACTCGTTTGTGTTGTGTGGAAGACAGTGTTCTAATTTTTGGGCGAGTTAAGACTACACACTGTATACATAATACTAATTAAATCCGAAACAACAAACTCGCATTGAGCAGAAGGTGAATTTTCACAAAGATGCCAACGAGAGTGTGTTGCGTGCGCGTCGAGCGAAAGCGCCTACAATTACTGCTTACATACATCGGGTTACAATGCCATAATAGAAGATCATAAGCTGGGCAGCACTAAGCGACTATTTAAAAGACAAGTTGCGGCAGTTTGTTATTAACCTTTGACTCGACAAGGCAAACGCTTGTAACGCTCTGCGTATACACCTTTGCACCGTGTTATGAAGACTTGTTTTTATTCACTTTGAGACGCGTTAATTTCACTTAATAAACTACTCCGTAAGTGCATAGTGGGCGATCTCCGTACACCTTATGTACCGTCTAAAATCACAAATTGTGCAAATTAAGCCGAAATAATTATTTAAATTGTTTCGTTTTTAAATCTCATGCACGTACTTGCTCAGCCCAAACAGGTTGAATTATAGTCATCGAAACATTTTTTATAGATTTTGGAATGAAACAATTTGGTACTCTCGTTTTGAGCGGATGAAACGTGAATATTTTAAATTATGCTGTTTTTTATTCGCTCCCCGAAAATAGCATATAATTATGTCTTAACTAGAGACGTACTTTATTATGTCGATGTGAGCTTGCGCCAGCGAAAGCGAATTTGTTTCCAAAATTAGACACACAATCTAGCAACGTACGCACGTTAACAAGAACAAATGAAAATGAAACGAAATCGTGCAAGGCCCACATACATAATAAAGTTATTATTCTGGCCGGCTTACAATAAGTTAATTATTTCCAAGAATGTGCTCACTAACGACCAGCATCTTGAATACTTTAGATTCCTAGATCATCATTGCACAATCAGTCAATTGATTGCTGTGATTCAATTACTTAAATTCATTCGCTCGTCGAGTGCTTGGCTATTCTTCGCCAATCTGCATTATTTCCATTTTGCATTTGCGGATGGAAAAAAATTAGCGCGGCGAGTTTAATTGGGACTCGAGGAGCGTGTTTCGCAATGGCGGCGTAAATTGCTAACGTATTATTCACACACCGCGTCTGAGCGCTTGTTGCTTTCTGATCGTTCAGTAAACATATTCGGTCAATATTGCCAGCGCTTGCCCATTAACCATTAAACCATTAACAATATCTATGTATATGCGAAAATATACACAACTCGCAAATAAATATCAATCGTTGAAGTGATTATGTATCGATTTTATATTCTCGCCTCATTATTGTAGTCGCGCGGTCGTTGGTCAATAAAATCTCGCTTTTAATTATGTCTGAATAATATTGGCTGCCGAAAATATCAGGCCAAGCAATTCGAGCCCACGCGATACGCATCTCCAGACACCAATCGGTTTCGCACGCACCCTATAAATATAATATATTTATATTTATCGGCGAACATAAACAATTTCGTTATTAGCATCAACCTTGACTCATTTGTCTGTCAGTTGTGTGGCAGCAAAGGTTGGTTAGTGCGTTTGTGAGTTAAATCGGTAAATTGGAATTTGTGGTCTAAATCTGTTTGAATAAGTGAATTATGATTGTGGCACCCACAACACAATGAGCAATCGCGGTGTGCCAACAGCACTACAATAAACGCTCCAACAATTTAATCGCGTCAGGTTTGCCAAGTAATATATGAAAATCGTATTCGATCGGAATTCAGCTGCGTAATTTGATTGCGTCCTAGACTCACTCTTAAATTGCGGGCGACCGTCGTGAGTGCGTTTTGCGTCTCTGCTCTCTGTTTCTCCACCTTAATGAACGTTTTCGATTTTATTTATTGCTTCTTTATTATATTTCGCCTGGTAGAACACTACGGACGGCGGATGAAGATTAAGCTAATTGAGACTTTATATAACGAAATGAAAAATGTAGTTATGATAAACGTCATTAAGCTATTAAGTTTTTTTGTGGCTTTCAGCTTCATTAACTTTCAAAATTACAATTATAACATAATTGCTATTGTAAAAACAAAGTTGCGTGCACGCAAGCGAATCTACGCGCTGATTTGGCAACTATTAATTACTAAACTTAAAATTATTTATTGCTTCAAGACGGGTGTAAACTGTAACCTTCAAAATGTATTATTTTCTCATGAAAATTCCAAGAAAATCCTCACTAACATTTTTTTCTTTCCTTTTTTGATTCTATTCAATACTAGAAACATATGAGTAGGTTTAGAACACCACAGTGCACTTCAGGGGTGATTTTATGAGACTTACTTCCTTGTTCTTTGCTGGTGGATGGTTGCCTGTTCCGCATCATCTAGGTACGTCCGCTTTGTGCGCTTCTATAGTTGATTGCATATGTAATACAAGGATAATGGGATATCGCCCCATGCGAGTTTGAAACTGCGGCCGTAATAGGGGTTCTTAAATGGACACACACTTGTGCGAACCGATCGAATTCCCATCTCTCCCCGTTGGCGATCCATTCCCACGAACCAGCCTATGCTTGCAATACCGTTATTGTTCTCTGTTTAGATCTAAATAAATAAATGCAGTACATTGAAGAGTCGGGAGAAGTATTAGAACCTGGTGCGGTAGTTGATGGAAGTAGGTGGCTGGTGTTATGTAGGGGTGGCACCCTCTAATTACATTTACTTGAGATTAACAGATTTAAATGTCAGTTGCACATTGCACCACGATTCATAGAAAATATAGCTGAGTACCCGTGTGAATATTCTGATCGAGTATCAAATGTTTCAGTCTTTTTTGTACTTTTCTTCTGTTTTATTTTGTTTGTTGTTGAATTTTTTTAATAGCAGTGGAAGCAATGATCGTAAGCGGTCACGAAACGCCTCCAACGCTCGTAATCAACCTGTTCGGGTACGGCACGCCGTGCATAGAACACTCGCCTTTGTTTATTGCTCAAATTTACGACTTGGATTCCTATAACTCATCGTTTTCTGCGGCGCGCGTTTTATTTCTTTTTTAATTGCGCTCGATTCGCTTGGAAGGTGCTCTCACACGTGCCCTGTTTTAAATAAACACACGCGCAATGCCCACCCTAGCGTTAATGAGACTCATAAAAAATTCAAACATGTTGAACTTCAACTTGAACAAAAACGTAACAAATGAATTGATTTATTTTTCATTTTATTGGACCATTGTCCAATTTATTAGCTGGGAACAAACGTGAGCAATTCTTGTGCAAGCTGTGTGTTGAAAAAAAAACAAACATACTTGGCGAATTGACACCCTCGATAACCCCAAGCACTCACTCAAATTGATACCAATAAAGTGGATAAATGTCAAAAGGGACAAACATATTGTTAGGCGCAATGCATAACACAGAGGGAAATGGCCCATCATTCAACAGCGCGTGGCGGCGGCGTGGTAGCGGCGGTGGTGTTGTCGCAAATCAAAGGGTGTCAAATTCGGACCTAAGTCAGAGGGGTGGAGTAGCAGTGATGTTCCCGTGGGAAATTCAATTTTTGTCGACTTGTTGAAAGGAACAAAACTGAAGCTCTTATTTTTGTCATTATTTAATATCAGTCATATTATAATAAAATTATAAATAATATTAAAATTATATACTGTTATACTCATGGCATCTAATTTGATTGACTATATCAATTTAATATTATTATTGTGATACTAACTCCACCCATAAAATTTACTATAAATTTTAAATTGTAATCGATGACAAGAATACGCATACATATATATTAATGATGAATACATCAAGTATCAAGCCAGTCGTGCTCTAATATACAAAAAGCTCGATAGAGCTCACACGAATCACGCTGAGAATGTGTTTGCTGTATTTGTGCTGTGTTGTGGCGGAAGTGTCATGCATAATTCATAAGAAATTAGCACTTATTGACCACAGCGATACCACCTATTTCATTTCGTCTGCGCGACCGATATGGTACGACGAAGGTTAACCGAACACTGACTGCAATCTCGTTCATAAATTATCACATCGATTCGTAGTCGAGTTCGTGGTATACAGTACATGGCGGGTTAGACGCAGGACAAGCATCATTATCATAATCATAACAGAAACGTCGTTCCATGCGAACTCGAAACTTGTACCACGGTTGGTAATAGAGCGATGTCGAGAGTCAGGACAAGTCGTTGTAGGTGACCGGATCATGATGAAGTTGAGTATTGTCGATTAGAGTTGACCTTAATATTGGAGACATTTTTTATTTCCGCTGACTTGATGAAAACACTTAATTGAATTTAAAGGTCGGGCGCTAAAAGTGATTTTATACATTATTCAAATTAATTGAAATCAGTAGGTACTTATAATATCAACTTATTTGAACTAATGTGGGAGCTTTATTGGTTTTAAGAGGAAATTTTAAAAATGACTACTGCAACAATAATCTATTAGTTAATACCGATATAACCTAAGAAAAGTAATGATGTTGAATCATTAATTTGCAAATTAAAGCGCATGCAAATATTAACAGATTATATAGATAACACCTTTCTTCTAAACATTAAAATTCTTATTTAATCTTAAATTTTATTTGCGCCGGTATTAAATATTTAAGTTAGTACAGTTGATTTGGGTACCGCACAATATTCCATAATTGTATTTAAGTCAAATTTAATTAAATCGAACATAACATAGCCATACTTGGCATTGTATGCAACAGCGCTAGTACGCAAATTATCTAGGACTACAGGCAGTTACCTACTTGCACATGTAAAG